GCTTGCATCCCACCCCCGATCCGCACGGCTCCATTATCCCGGCGACACCGTCGCCGCGCCGAGGGAAGTAGGGAACCGTCTCGCGGGTCTCGCATCTGAAGCGGCGTACCGGTCCTTCCCCGCCTCCCTGCCTCACCCCCTACCGTCGGCGACCCGGCGAAGCTAGGCTTGCCGCGAGACGACAGCAAACACGGCGTGGACACATCGGACACGAGGTACATCGACGCAACACCGCTTTTATCAGCCGCTTCGGCTCGCGAACGAATCGCGGAGGGGTAAAGGAGAGGGTTAGGAAACAGCCAGAAGTGGCACTGTGCGTGTGCGTGTGTCCTAAAAGGGACACGGATATCTATAGAGAACGGAGAGGGAGTCAGGGAGATCCATGTAGACGAGACATCGGGAAATGTACGTCGGTCGTTCCGAGCTCCGAGCTAGAATGTACCCGGCGTTCGCTGTCGTCTGTCGGAGCCAGGGTCTCGCTGCTCGCATCTTGCCTGCGCGAGAGCTGCGAGCTGCGAGAGAGGAAGAAGCCTGAGAGAAAGACAGAGGCGAGAGATCGAGAGAGAGAAAAACGCGTGCTCGTCCGTGAAGGGAAATCAATTTTGGGCGCGTTGAACCCCCCTTGAGTCGCTCGATCGGAGGCAACAAACGCACTGATGACGTTAAACGAATCTTATTCCCTTCTTTTTCAGTCTACCCGGCGGACCGTCATGTACGTCTCTCTTCGGTCTTCTCAGGCTTCGGGCTAGACAACGCTACGCGAGACGCCGTCTAGTATTAAAAATACGACGCGCTAGATATTTGTTCCGAGTGAGATAGGACACTTCTCCGATGACGATCAAATACGCGCGATGTTTATGTTTTTCCTCGCGCAGGAAGGGAGGGGACAATTGGAAGGGCAAAGAATAGAAAATCCTGTGTTTTGTGTTCGACCGAGATTCTTTGTTGTACGACTCGTCGCCTCCCTGTCGAAAGTACAGAAAAAGACGACCGTTTTCGGAAGCGTTTGATTCACGGTGCATTATTAATTTACATCATCGCGTTTTCAACACTCTGAACTGCTATCCAAATTGTGCTTTTGGTTTATTTTACAAGATCTGTTAACTCCGCTTTATTTGTTTGCACATGTGACATTAGTTTCCACAAACACACATACAAAACTCGATTTATCAGTGTTACTACTTTCTTTTGCAATGGATTTGATTTATGCATTGTACGACTATAGCGAAACGAAGACAGAAACGCAATGTGATATCAACTATGCTCCATTATTATACTTCTATTACTATGTTTCAAAATTAGTTTTCTTTTTATAATGCTTGTCCTTTTGTCACTTAAATTTCCGTTAAATTTATAATTTGCAAAAGTTTCTATGTAATTAATAATATATGTTTTGTTAAAGAGTCATGTCATCAGGAGCAGGTTCCAGTGGAACTGGGCGAGGTCGTGGTTCCTCCTTGGCAGACAATAAACCAGACAGTAAAGAAGCTAAGCCAAATCCAAAGATGTCGAAAGCTTTAGGAACGTCCGCTAAGAGGTAAACAATAGAGCCATATTTCATGATACATGGTGATAACATGTATTTATTTTAACTTTACAGTAATTTGTGGTTACTAAATATTTTTAATATTAATATTTTAGGATACAGAAAGAACTGGCAGAAATTACGCTAGATCCACCTCCCAATTGCAGGTATAATACCATTGTCATTGATTATAATTCTTTTTGAAATAATATTTTGCAGAATTATAGTTACATAATAATATGAATTATGGAACAGTTTTATACTTATGGGAATAATATATAGATAATAAAATTAATTGTTGATTAACTTATTTTACAGTGCAGGACCAAAAGGTGATAACTTGTATGAATGGGTTTCTACCATATTGGGTCCTCCAGGTTCGGTTTATGAGGGTGGTGTATTCTTTCTTGATATACATTTCTCACCAGAATATCCTTTTAAACCTCCTAAGGTAAGTTGATAGTTTCATTAATTTTATATTGTGAGGATAATACTTATTCATACAGGATTATAACAACAATGTCAAAGTGAAGAAAATAAATAAAAACTTAAATAAAAGTATTATTTAAATTATTGTCATTTTTTTATATAAAACTTGAAATGTATATTTTAAATAAATATTTACATTAATATTTATTACATAATAATTATCTGTATAGATTAGTAAATGTTGCAATATTAGTAATTCCTTGCATCTAAAACATTCTTAGAAAATTTACAATTATTTCATTTATTTTAGTAAAATAGTGAGTGCGACATACGTTTTAATAATTATGTTTCAAAAATGTGTTGCTCTACAGGTTACATTCCGAACACGCATCTACCATTGCAATATAAATAGTCAAGGAGTTATTTGCTTGGACATCTTAAAGGATAATTGGTCTCCTGCATTGACAATTTCAAAAGTCTTACTGTCAATATGTTCCCTTTTAACAGACTGCAATCCAGGTAGGTGCATTATTTATGAAAATTTATTTAAAATTAATGTACGATATGTATATTGTAAATAATGAATAAATTTACAATATCTTGTTTGTTTTTAAAATAACATTCTGTAAATAACATATTTTCTTTTGACGTAATTATGTGGATCTTAAATAATTTTATCTTGCAGCTGATCCACTGGTAGGTAGTATAGCCACGCAATACCTACAAAATAGAGAAGAACACGATCGCATAGCGCGGCTTTGGACCAAGCGCTATGCTACATGAGCGTATTCTTTATTCATATTAAACTCCTATTAGTCTCATGCCAACTTATGATCATTGCTGCTCTCATACAACTTGTCTCATATGTAGCCTGTACACATCCTTATGATCATGTTGGTCAAAAAACACAAGTGAGCAAAGACCGTTTGAGATCAGCTCAAACATGATTGTGATGTGCTTTTATGTAGAGTATGTAATGTGCCTAAGGACGGATGAATGTGCGTGCAAGTGTTTAAACAGTGTGCTAGGGCATAACGAGACAGGAGTTTTTCACTTAAAAGTTACAATGAGATAGTATTTAAATGGATTGTATTGTTTACAAAAACAATACCACGCACAATGCTGCTAATGTTTCTAGAATAGGAGATAACATGAACAATATTGATAATCTAAACTGTAAGTAATTAATAGATATATAGGCAATAAGACGTAAACGTAGAGGCCCATTTTTCCATAATTGAACTCCCATATTTTTATATTGAATTGTCTTAAATTTAAATTATTATGTTCATACATGTGACGCCTGACTCAAAATATAGGCTAATAGCATGTAACTATAATTTAGCTATGCTGCAAAAGTATCGCATACAATTTTGTGTTCATAATACAGTAATTGTAATGTTCTGCATGAAGCAGACGTTAAGATTATACTTGCGTATCAGATAATTCAGTTGTCTGGGCCCACCCGCAAAAATATATTGTAATTGTAAATAAATATTATTTACTGTATACTTATACACTGGTACATTCAAGAAATCTTATAATTCTGACCTGGATTTATATTCTGTCTATACCGTATACGTGTATGTATAAATTGATGTTTTAATGATTGCACTGATAATTCTGGTTCACTAATTCTGATTAGCAATTTCTTATCCTTTTCTATACTGGATGATCCGAAATTCACGAATTTGGAGTATAGGACACGATACTTTATGCTAAAACAACCTTTTCTTTTACTAAAATTGCGTCCGATAAATAATTTTTGCGCTTATTCGTTAACTTCAACTTGCTCTCCTGCAAAAACTACTTATCGGACACAATTTTGCTAAAGGAAAAAGTTGTTTCTTGTGCTAAAACGAACAACTTTTTACTGTAGTAAAATTACATTCGATAAATCATTTTCGTGTTTACTCGTATAACTTTAACTTGCTCTCCTGCAAAAACTACTTGTTAGAGGCAATTTTGCAAAAGGAAAAAGTGCATAAAGTATCATGTCCTGTACTCGTGAATTTGTGAATTTCAGATCACTCTGTATATTATAGCTTAATTTTTAACGTAAGTAGAGAAAGAAAATTTTAATAATTGGCGCTAACCAATGTTAGTGTAATCCATTGCGTTCTTAGACTTTTTATATTATTTTATCTTGTATCCGAAGGGATACTTACATATCAATTTTGTTGCATACTTGAACTCTAAAGTCCGAGCATGCTAGAAATACTTTCACTGTCTTCAATGTGTCAGGTATATGTACGTCTCCTGAATAATTTCTCGTAGTTTTTTATATCATATGAGAATTAGATCAACAAGGTGATTAAAATCACTTTGTACATATCTGTTCTAAAATATAGATAGTTGCTTAAAAATATCGGGTAGTGTGAGTGTAATTATAGTGAGTTCAATGAAAAAAAAAATGATGAAGCAAAGGAGAGAAGCTTGCTCGACGAATATTGATATTGTACAGTTTATTGTGTAAAATGTAAACACTTTTTGCATCCTTTTCGTCGCGAAATTCAAGGAATGTAAATATTGCGTGAAATGCATGTGCAAAATATGCGAATCGCGTAAGTTCCTATTATAACAAAAATTTAATAATTTTTAATTAAGTCGGCGAACTTTGGCTTTTTATATTTTGTAAGCCAATATGCAGTTTTACAACTTTATGAATTAAAGTGGAAGATAAGTCTTGAGAGATCCTGCCTCGGGATTGTAAATAGATCATTATGCATAAGATAATACATATATATACCCGCGTGCACTTGAAAATTATCAGAATATTAAAGAAATATGGATTTCTCGTTATTTCTAAAAATGTCGTTATACATTAACTGGAAACGAAAGCACGCTCTTTTAAAATCGATCTGGAAATAGAAGCGCATTATACAGTCTCTTTTGTAAAAAAGCATGGGAAGCAAGGGAAAAGCCTCGTGGCATTTATCTACACAGTTTCGATGATCTAAAATTACAATACGCCGGGAAGTCAGTTGATCCATGAACACTCTTTTATTTGCGTATATAAAAAGTATGAATGTCAAACAAAGAAAAAAGCAAATGTACGAAGGTCAGTCTTATATATTGGTAAACAATCTTTTAATGATATAACGAATGAAATACAATTTATTATACGCTGATTTCTTCAGTAGTTATTATTGTTACCTTTCCTTATCTTTTCTTAAAGATACTCTTTTCAATTACATTCTGCGAAGTTTAAATTTAAATTAAATTTGTAAAGGTGGGAAGAGGATTTTGATTGAAAACACTACTTAGTGTCATTAAATTTATTAGTATACATAAAAGCTAGATGAATATGTGCTAAGGACATGTTGGCTCCTAAAATGCCGTAAATTAGATACTGTAATAACGAAATTACATTTGTATCACTTTAACGATACTAATAATTTACCTTTATAATAAAAATAACACAAGCAGCCAAAATAGAATTTAGTACAAAGTCATTTGTATATATGTGTTTTGTATATATGTGTGTATGTGTGTGTGTGTGTGTGTATATATAATATATATAATATGTATATATTGTATGTAAAATATACCAATGTTAGTTAATACTGATTACAATAATCTTCGTCAGTCTTTTGCGTTGCCTGGTACAATACATACAGAGTCTAAAATTTTCAATTAAAATCTCTGACAAACACAGACGATTTTATATAATCAAAAGGAGCAAACGTTTTGGACAAGTGCTAGTTTTGAAGCTACATTGCGCATGATCGATAGATTAATACAATTGAAATGCTTTCTAATCTCTATTAACTTATAACATAAACGTTACTATGTTAGGCACACTTTAATATCTCATAGCTATTATTTCTATGTTTCTGCATTTATGGTTTATCCTACGGACGTTCATGTTTATTTCTGAGATCTTGTGCATTTCCCACTGTGTACGTGTGTGTATGTGTGTGCCGATGGTAGATTTAAATTATTTCAACATTATTGTAAAATAGTAAATATATCAATACTCTTTGTTCTTACATATAAATTATTTGCAATAAATACGTATCTCCATTTTTTTAGACATATACGTTCTAATAACGTTCGGTATATTATATGTCTAAAGGAATGTTATAAATTTTCATGCATTTGTATACACAAGACTACAGAAACTTACATAATTCAATTTGAATTGTGGTACTTGAATTCGTGAAATCGACAAGACGCAGTGAAATTTCTAAAACTTTTTCCCTTTCATCTGTTACGTATAAATCTAAAGAATACTGTACATTTTTGATGTACTTAAACGCACATAATGTTATTTAATAGCATCCAATTGGCATCAATTTTTAAATTACATTAAAAAAATGTTTCTCCTTTAAATGGAAGCAAATAAATAAGTAGTTTTTTATATCATCGTAATTCATTCTCATTTAATTTTTTTTCCGATATTATTATTGAAAGCTCTTTTAATACTAGAAAATAGAATCCTATGAATAAAGTTTAAGAAGTCTTTTTATAGATTTTAATACATCATATAATTGTTTTAAATCGTTTATTTCTTTTCAGGAATAACTCACAATTAGTAAAAATAATATCAATCTTTTTACTTTGGTCCCAAACATGAATGAACTTAGCACTAAACATGCACAAATGTTTTTGTAGCAATAGACTGTCAATAGCATATAATACAATGAAGCGCAAGAATCTGAATCAATATCAGAGTTCACTGACATTACAAGCTAAATTATTGACAGGATAGAGCTAGCTTCCATTTGATACTCCATTTAAATCGAGCTAAATGTTAAGATGCGCTAATTTTGTTACATCATTGGTACATAATGTACAGAATTTTTGTGTACATCTGGTATTACATAATGACATTATATATACACGCATACGTATATATATTTCACGGGGCACCGTCGATTACGAATAAGAGTACACTGCCTTTTCTTGTTTTTTTTTCGTAGAACACAGAAAATCATTATAAATTTAATACAAGATTACTCTACAACATCGTATATATTATAAGTATTAGAGACTGTATTTTGTCGAGAGAGAAAAAGATGAGGAGGCATTAAAAATAGATGCCAAGACTGCATGTACTCAAATATAATATATACTATTTTATGGTAGTATTAAATTATCAGAACACAAGTTTGCAATTAACCGTTACACAATTTGCTCATTCTGCACTCTGAGGAAGATTATGCAGAAATAGCTCATTCTTTTTTGTTCGTTTAAATCTGGCAAAAAATTAAGAGGAATGATGACTACATTGAATGTTATTTCTTATAATGATACAGATTGTAAATAATTCGCAAAATATTACCAAACTTCGTACAAACGTATCACATGAAAAAATAGATCAGACATTACATCATGGCACATCATTTAACAGGTACCTCGTTGTACGTGTGCCAAAATTGATAAAAGTTCCACTGGTAATTTCTGTAAACAGGATCGCATACATTTTTCGATTAGTTGTTCTCTTTCTTTTTTTTGCTTTCATATTGCATGTGATATATATATTTTTGGCAGATATTGGCAGTAATTTGATGTTAAATTTAACGGGATATATTAATATTCAATGCATATATTGCTATCCAGTTTGTTTTTTCAGTTTATAAGAAAAAGCGAAGTAAAGAGACGCCAATTCGCGTTCTCTCTAAAGTATGTAATTTCATGGATTACATACATACATACCGAAACGTCACTAACTTATTAAGGTATCGCTGTACACTAAATACTTGTGACATCATTCCTCTTTGAGTATATATTTAAGCACAATAAGAATGATTACGGTCGTAATGAATCTACAAGTATTTATTAATCAATGTATGATGAACAATATTATGAAAAATGCCTCCTAATTGATGGCAGATCAGTGTGCTGTGGTTTCGCTGTAAGTAAAAATATTAAATCACTAGGTATGAACATAAAATATTTGAAAAAAAAACATCTAGTTTTACGGCATATTAAGCAATATAATTTCGTAAATATATTAAGCAATATAATTTCAATTCGTATATATAGTACAAACAATGAAAAACAAAACATAGCACTTTAATTTTTGTGTGATACTATTAAAATGTAGATTTTAATAACGAGTATTTTTATTGCCAACATCGGCTTGAAACGACACTTTATAATCGAGTTGAAGCAATTCTATTGCTGTTTAACTGAAAGTATAAGTTCTCTTGTTGAAATAATTTTGTTATAAATTACGCTTTACTATAATTTTTATATAACATGAACAACTATTACGTTTTGTCTATTTCTATACACTTATACATCTTGTAAGACATTTTTCATGATTGTAACACTATGTAAACTTTACATTGTGGTAAACAACAAAATATCTTAATGTTAGATATATAGTATTTCTTGCTTTGTATTGAACGCACAGCACGCGCGCAGCAACATATACGTGTAATTAACATGCAATTGCAAATTGAGGCTAACACTTCTCTTTCAATTTGTTAAACATGGAAATTTTTCATTAATCTGAAGAGTACCATTTAGCCACAAATTAGAATATACCAAAAAAAAAACAAATTGCGCATTGACACATGTTACTTTCAATCACAGTTTCTTTGCAGTTCACAAGTATAGTACATCCTATTAACTGGTTAAAGTATATAATTTTCTCTTTGAATGGATTATATAACATGCAATATATAAAGGAAATGCCCTTCATCATACACCATTGAGTTAATGTTGATATATTCACGTATCTTAATACTTCATTTTGCATCTTGAACTATCTAATTAGTGACTTTCTTCATTTGACATCGTAAATTTT